CCAGAGTCCTGGGATCGAGCCCCGCATCAGGCTCCCTGCTCGGCGGGAAGCCTGCTTCTCCCTCTCCCACTCCCCCTGCTTGTGTTCCCTCTCTCATTGTGTCTTTCTGTCAAATAAATAAAATCTTAAAAAATAAAAATAAAAAAAGTGTTAAAAAAAAAAGACTACGATGCAGGAACAGCCAAATGGAAGAGATACACAGGTAAGGGAAGTAGGGTGGGGTTGAGCACAGAGCTTCCATGCCTTCTCTCGGCATGCCGCTTTCCCTGCACATAGATATGTTCACTATCTGGGAACCTCCTTGAACCTTGTTGATTGAAAGTTTTAATCAAAGTTTCATTACATAGGCATGATTGATGAAATCTTTGGACATTGGTGATTGAACTCCATCCCCAGCCTCTCTCCCTTCCTCGAAGGGGAAGGGGGTGATTGAACTCCATCCCCAGCCTCTCTCCCTTCCTCGAAGGGGAAGGGGGATGGGAGTGGGGCTGAAAGTTCCAACTCTCTAATCACATGGTAGATTCCTCTGGCATCCAGCTTCCCATCCAGAAGCTGTGGAGGGGGCCACCAAGAGTCATGTCATTAGCATAAACTCAGGTATGGTCAAAAGGAGCCCATTATGAATAAGAGAAAAGAGGCTCTTATCACTCAGGAAATTTCAAGGGCTTTAGGAGCTGTGTGCCAAGAACTGGGGACAAAGGACAAATACATATGTGTGTGTGTGTGTGTATGTGTGTGTGTGTGTATATATGCTTTCCCAAATGGAAAGCCAAAAGTGCTTGGCATGATTAGAAGAAGATTATTCAAATAAAAACAATGAAAACAAGGCAATGTTATTAAATGCTTGCTATAGTACCTGTCAAAAGCTCTGAGCTCAAGACCTCTCTCTCTTTGTTAAAAAAAGGAATTGACAAACGTGAAAGAGGGGTTAAAGACATATTACCATGAAGGGTGCCTGGGTGGCTCAGTCGTTAAGCATCTGTCTTCAGCTCAGGTCATGATCCCAGGGTCCTGGGATTGAGCCCTGCATCGGGCTCCCTGCTCAGCCAGGAGCCTGCTTCTCCCTCTTCCACTCCCCCTGTTTGTGTTCCCTCTCTCGCTGTGTCTCTCTCTGTCAAATAAATAAATAAATAAAATCTTTAAAAAAAAGACATATTACCATGAAACTGCACCTTTCTCCTTCCTTTCTACAAGGATGGAAGGAGAATCACCATATGGGTCTGTGTTATTTAACATTGGGTCTTTGTATCACCAAAGCCATTGTGTCCCACAGGTTGTACACGTCACATGTGGGGGAATGCTGCCCTAGAAATAGGCCTTTATCACCAGAAAAATGGTCCTGGTTCCCAGCCTTAAAGAGCTTGAGCTCTGGGACCTGTGTTACAGCAGATATTCATGGCATTTCTGCTCAATGAGTATCTTTTCTGATGGCAGTCCAGAGATCACGCTTTCTTTAGCCAAGAAGTGATTAGGATTATCACTTTCATTTCTGGAAGTCTCTGTGGCCCAGCGGGAGGAAATATGTGGATGATGGAGACTACCGCCCAATCCATTGATAGCTGGGTAGGGGCCAGGAGAGATGTCCATGTCATGGCCCCTGAACATGCTTGACTGATTTTGACACAGTTTGCCACATAGATGCCAACACACCCTCGGTCCATGTGACTGTGCACTGTTTCCTGTCTTGTAGGCCAGCAAAAAGGAACGGTTCATGCAGGTGCAGTCCATGATGTATGACCTGATGGAGTGGCGGTCCCAGCTCCTCTCAGGAACTCTGCCCAAGGATGAGCTGAAGGAACTGAAGCAGAAAGTCACATCTAAAATTGACTATGGCAACAAGTAAGTCTCTCTTTTCTCAGAAAAAATGCTCTCTTCTCCTATCTACCCCCCTTCTTCCCTGTCGCCCTCCAGAGAAACTTGGTTTCATTTTTAGATGCGTTGTTTGCCACTTTCTATTTGAGAGAAGGCTGTTACCAACTCAGTGCTTTGTGTGCCTTTCTTATCACCCCTGTGGGACCTAGGGACATGCAAGCAGAGAGAGGGCTTGCTTATGCAGTGCTTATTACTGGGCTGAGAGATTTAGGACACTCATTTAACCTACTTCCGAGGGGCTGGGGAGCACAATCATGCTGGTTCACTTTTGACTTAGTTGTCATTTTATTTCTGCACTTACAAAACTCTCCCTTAAATCCCAGTGTGAGACTTAATGTCTCTTCCCCCATCCTAAATTATCCAAGCCACATGCCATCAGCTAACTCATATGCATAGTTACAAAAGTGTTTCCTCAAAAGGGAAGAAACAGAAAGTGTTTGGAGTTTGAATGCTTTTAAGTTAAAGAGAACATGAGACAACTTTTTGAGGCAGGACAACCCACTGATAATAATAGTAGTGATAATAATATTACAAGTAACACTTAATCCAAGCTTATTATGTACCAGGCTTGATGCTACATGTTTTACATTCAGTGTCTTATTTAATTCTTATAACTCTATGGGGCATGCAGTTTTATTGTCCACATTTGTTTTCAGATGAAGAAACTAAGGCCCTTAAAGAGGCCAAGTAATTTGTCCAGAATCACATGGCTATTAATGGCAGAACCAGAATTTAGACCCAAGCAATCTGGCTCCAGAGTCCATAGGCCCGCCACTATGCTACCTGGATGCATTTGAGAACACCTCCCTCCTGGTTATTTGGATGACCTCTAAATCCTACTCATTTGCTTATTCATCCCAACAACAAACATGTCTCGAACATTTATGATTGGTCTGATACCTTGCTAGCTGTTGAAGCTCTAGAAATAAAAGCTCTTGTCTGCTAAGGAACCACAGTCTGGTTAGGAGTAAGCTACAGGCAAACTGCTAATATGTACTGTGGTAAGTTTGATGGCTTATAAAACAAGAGTACTCTTAATTCAATGTGGAGAAGGAAGTCAAGGAAGGCTTCCTGAAGGAGGTAACCCTGAGGGGAATTTTGAAAGATAAAGAAGTATTAAGTAGGAAAAAAAAAAAAAAAGAAAAAGAAGGTAGGAGTGCATGAGAGAGCATGGCAGGTTTAGAAGATTGTGAAATGGGTCAGAAGCCTGGGCCATAAGGCCCGAGGGGGAAGTAGAAAGAGCCCATTTAAGGTGATAAGAAGGAAATTTCCCAGCAGCCAGGCTTTCTTGCCTTTGTCGTATGCACTAGGAAGAAGATCCATAGGCACTAGGAAAGTAAACGGGTCCAGCTTACAGCTGCTTCCCATCCCAGGAGCCCAGTCCCTCTGCTGGTTCCCCTGCTGGCGGCTGGCAAGCGTGTCCAAATCTGCTCATAATGCACATCATCCCAAAGTGACAGGAAGGGTTTGCCACACAGCTGCTGCCACCACTGGTGCAGTGACATCGTTAGCTGGGAACGGTCACAGCTGGGAGTGTGAGTATCAAGGGAGATTAGCTGCTTTGCAGTAATGGCCTCTGTGACCTTCAGATGTTGTTTCTTCATCCTAAGAAAAAAGGCCAAGGTTGGAAGAAATGGTCACCGCTCGTAGGAAGCTTTCTCTGATTTTCCCCTACCCACCCCTGGCTGGGTGAGGTGCTCTTGCAGGCCCTCCACAGTAATCACCTCCTTACTGGCCTGTCTCCCCTGCTGTGATGGGAACCCTATAAGACAGTGGCTACTAATTTACCTCTCTGTGTCGGGAACAGGGTCTGCACACGGGAGGTGCTCAGTGAATGATAGCTGGATGAGTGCATGAATGGTGGTGATGGGAGAAGGAGGAGGAGAGGGTCCTCCCCAGGTCAGCGGTGCCTCTGCAGCATTGTTTGGACCAGCCCTGTGCTTCTGGTTTCAGTCACTTCCCTTTGGGGAAGTGAGAGGCATCCTTGGAAACGGAGACCCTGAGCTAGGGAGCCCCTTGCTTCTTGCCTCCCTTCCCTGATGACTTAGCTGGAAGGGAGGGAGATTTGGACACCTTCAGTTATCACCAGCTTGGCGTGTTTGGAGCTCAGAGTTCTAATATGGGGTGGATGGCTTCCTGTGAGAGTCAGGGAAGCATGATGGATGGGAATTTAGGGCTGGAGGACTGACCAGAATCAGCCTATTTCTCCCATCATTCACTTTGTTCCTTCATTCAGACCTCAAACTTTTGTTGAGCACCTGCTAGGCCTCGAGGACACAGATATTTACAAACTACACCTGCTATCTCAACAACAAAAAGCAAGCAGAGAATTAATAACTTACTGAGTGGTGACTATCTGCCAGGTGCTGTTTTCAGCACTTTCCATACATTAATTCAGTTAAATCTCATGACAACTCTATGAAGTAGGTAAGTACTATTATCATCCCTATTTCTCAGTTGACGGAAATAAGGCTCACAGAGTGATTAGGTCATTTTGCCCCAGATGACTGAAATTTGAACCAATAGCTTGGCTCCAGAGTTCAAGTGCTTAACTATTACTGCATTCTATTGCCTCCAAGGACAGTGTAGGTTAATATGGGAGAGAGAGAAGTGAACAGACAGTGGAGTAGGAAGTCATGCCTTTCCCAAGAGCAGGAAGCACAGACAAGAGGGCAGGGGGAGGCAGGGAGGTGGCTGACATCTGCCTGGAATCTAACAAGACTAGTGGGAATTATTAGGTAAAGAAATTGGGGGTGGGGGGAGAATGTGGGAGGAGCTCAGAGATTAACATGAACATGGAGTGGAAGGCAGACTGGGGCTGGAACCTTAAAGGCCTAAGTGCCAAATAAAGGAGTTTGGATTTGTCCAGAGGATGACCAGGAACCACAGAAGGAGCCATTTCTGTTTTCATTACCATTAAAATGTTTTTGTTTTTGAAAAATTCATATGGTAGAGACTTCTTCCCCTGCCCCTGTTTTGGGTACATCTTATCACTTTCTCAAACAGAAGAGAGCAGTATGGGACTACCTCTGAGGAGAGAATGTCAGAATGCTCATTTCTCCAAAGTAAATGGTCTGCTGTTCAATTGGGAGACAGCCTTTCCTAACCTTGGGTTATGGGACTTCTGACAGTCCTGGGCTGTAACTACTAAAGCTTCTGAAATTCCACGTGAGACCAATAATGGGCAAGCTCCTTGGTCTCCAAGGAGTGAGGAATCCTCAAATGACTCCTCCAAATCCCAAGATAGCTGGACCCTAAAGAAGGTTTTATTCATACATTTTAGAACCGAATCCACTTTGATAAATTTTGAAGAAAAAGAGCTAGAGAGATCTTGGCATTAAATTATGTATTGGCTATGCTCCATCTTTTCTGAGGTCACGCGAGTCTCTGCTCAGCATTAGTTGAAAGCATTTATTCCCCCTTAGCATCGCCCGTTCGGCAGCATGGCTGTGCAACATTATGAGTCATATCTAGTTGGAAGTTAATTTCCTAATCAATGTGGACAAACGGGTGAACCTTGGCTCCCTTCTGTTTGCATTTGGATGAGATGAGAGATGTGCTTCTCAATCTGGTTCTCAAATAAGAGGTGGAAACAGTCTCCTTCATTTGTCCTTGCTGCCTTCCAGAATCTGGTACTCAATAATGGTGCCTAGTAGGACCACTGTTGGCCTTCTCAGAGTCTTCATCAGCCCACTTCCCCCTACCTTCTTTGTATGGACAGCGAGGTCCTCCGTCTCAACATCAAGTGCAAAAGCAGCTTCAAATCCAGGCCTCTGCAAACCTACCCTTGGTCCCCTAATCCAGTACTGCTCCTAAGTGCCTCCCATCTAGAAAATATACTGTAGAGGTTAAGAGTACAGACCAGGATGCCACATTACTTTTTAACTAGCTATGTGATCTTGAGCAAATTAATTAGCCCCCATATCTTTGGTCTTTCCTCATTTGTAAAATGGGGGTATTAATAGTACATAAAATGCATTAATATACATAAAACATTTAACGTATGTGAGCTTACGGCAAGTGCTGTATGTTTGCTGTTATTAAGTATCATTGATGTCAATCAGAATGACAGATGCAGTTGAAACAAATCAATACCAAGCAGGGGAAAGCTTGTGGCCTGGAAGTCAAAGAGCTAAAGAGCAAGCTGTGGATAACAAGCAATATATCTGAGATTTTTTCCCCCAGCAACTGTGTTCAAAATGTTGAATAGATAACATATGAATTCTCTGCTATATGTTATATTATATTTTATTATATTATATTATGTTATATTATATTATATTATATCATATCACATTGTAAAACAACTTAAGATAAGGCACATGTCTCCTTTGACCCCTCCGCCCCTTTTGGTCCCAGAGTCCTACCCCTCCTCACAGGTACCCCTGTTGGTAGTATTGGTGGTTTGGCACTTTTTGTCCAAACCCTTCTCTTTTTTCTTTTCATTCATGTACATGCATCCTGACAATATATCTGGCTCGGTTTATTTGTTTATATTAACCTAGTGTATGCATCTTTCCATACTTTATTTTTTTCACTGAGATATATCATTAAACATATTAAAGCTATATCATATTTGTTAAGCACTGCTACATGGAATTCCATTACAGGTCACAGTTTACTTAGCTATTCTCCCTTTGACAGACATTGTGGTTTTGTTCAACATTTTGCTGATGCAAGCAATGCTGTAATACAAGTTCTCGCTCAAATGTGGATGTTTCTCTAGATTCAGTATCGCAGGAGATATACATTTTAAGCAAATTTAATATACACTGCCACAGTACCACCCAAAGAGGCTGAACTATACCAGTATGCCTCACAGCTGTGTGCAAGGCTGTTGGTGTAGAGCTGTTCCATGGAAGTCTGCAATTCTCAGAGACCAGGAGAACTTTCTGGTATAAACTTCTCACCAACATCTTAAAGGCTTAAGCCTCCCCTGATTTATCCTCACCCTCTGTTTTTGCTTTTCAGAATTCTTGAGCTTGATCTGATTGTCAGAGATGACGATGGAAATATCTTAGACCCTGATAATACCAGCGTCATCAGCTTGTTCCATGCACACGAGGAAGCGACTGATAAAATCACAGAGCGCATCAAGGAAGAAATGGTGAGCTTTGTAAAATAGGCTTTGGCAGTCATATAGCAGTCATATACTTCATATACATCATAAACTTCAAATAATAGGCTAATTAACCAGACTCTATTATTCAAGGAGATATCTGTCCTATGACCTGAGATGATCAGTAACCACATGTATTTTATTGTGTTTTTGTACTCGGGTCTGTAATTCATGCATCTATCCCACAGGTAGTTTAATGTAAGGCAAGTTTCCTGTTCTCATGGAGATTTTATATTCCAGAGAGGGGAAAAGAAGAAAGGCAATAAGAAGTAAATAAATAAATGGACAAATTAATTCCAGATGGTGTTAAGTCTCTAAAAGGCAATAAGCTAGGGTTATGTGAATCAGGAGCTATTTTAAAAGGTACCATCAAGAAAGGCCTCTCTCAGAAGAGACATCTGAGTTGACACTTGAATAATATGAAGTCACCAGGCCTGGGAAGACCTAGGGACAAAGTGTTGTAGGCAGAGGGAACAGTAAGTGAAAAGGCCCTGAGGTAGGACTGTGTTCTCAATGTTCAAGGAGTAGAAAGACCAGTGTGGATGGGACATGATGAGCAGTAGGAAAGTGTAAGCAATGATTTGGAGAGGTAGGGAGCAAAAGCCAGCTCTCGCAGGGCCAGAGGTGTCACGGAAAAGAGTTAAGATGTTATCCCAAGTATGGTGGAAAGCCAACAAAAGAGTTCAAGGAAACTTTTTTTTTTCAAATTTAACATAATCTGACTTACGATTAAAAAAATCATTTTAGCCACTGTGTATTATTTGAAAACAACTTTGTTTTTAGTTTTATTAAGATAATTTCACACAAAATTAATTCTTTATGAACTACAGTCTACTGAATCTTACTAAGGTATAGTGTTGAGTCAACTCCACCATAATCACGATATCAACAGTTGTGTCACCCTGAAAGTTGTTTTGAGTCCCCTTGTCATTGATCCCCTTTCCCAATCTCCAGGCCCAGGCAATCCCTAATTTGTTTTCTGTGATTACACTTTTGCCTCTTCTAGAGTTTCATATAAATGAAATCATATGGTTTTTGTGTTTGACTTATTTTACTCAGCATGGTGTTTTTGAGGTTCACGTTGTATATATTACCTTTTTTTTTTATTGTTGAGTTGCTGTACCATCAACTAGTTGTCCATTGTTGGACATGTGGGTTGTTTCCACCTGGGGCCTATATAATTAGTACTGCTAAGAACATTTGCAAACATATGTGCAGACATATATTTTCATTCTTTTTAAGTAATACCTGATAGTAGGGTTGCTGGATCCTATGATTCGTGTATGTTCAACATTTTAAGAGACTGCCATACTATTTCCAAAAGGGCTGTACAATTTTGCATTCCCATCAGTAGTATGTGAGAGTTCCAGTAGCTCTGCATTCTTTCAACACTTGGTCTTGCCTGTCTCTTAACTTTAGCCATTCTAGTGGTTGTGTGGTGGTATCTTATTGTGGTTTTAATTTGCATTTCTCTGAATGACTAGTGATGTTGAGCATCTGTCTCTTCACGTGCTTACTGGCCATGGCCATTTGTATCCTTTTTTTTGTGAAGAGTCTGTTCAAATATTTTACCCATTTTAATTGGGTTGATTTTTTTTATCACTGAGTTGTAGAAACTCTTTGTATGTTCTAAATACAATTGTATATTTGTATATTCTGAATACAGATTCTTTATCAGATATATGCTTTGTGAATATATTTTCCCAGTCTTTGCCTAGCCTTTTCATTTCCTTAAATGAATTTTTTAATTTTATTTATTTTATTTTATTATGTTATGTTAATCACCATATATTACATCATTACTTTTTGATGTAGTGTTCCATGAGTTATTGTTTGCATATAATACCCAGTGCTCCATTCTG